CCCTAAACCCTAAACCCTATCCTTCTGCTGGTCTGCCAGGTCGAGGGAGGCGACTACTGCGTGCGGACCAACCCGGACGGGGTGGATTTGAACCGGAACTGGGACGACGCTTGTCGGGTTTAGGGGTTTCGGGTTTAGGGTTTAGGGTTTAACCCCCAAGCCCTAAGCGACGGGTAGTGCGATAATGAGGATGTTGATGGTGATGACCATGAGCCTCCCCACAGTGGTCTTTGCAAATCGCGAGATGCGAGCGTCGCAGCTTCGCTACACTCCGAACCGTAGAACCTGCACCCCAGTCGCTTCACTTCTTAAACCTCACCATTGACCTTCCTAGGTTGTATCCCCGCCCAATCCTAAACCCTAAACCCCCTAAACCCTAAACCCTCAACCCTAACCCGAAACCCCCTAAACCCCCTAAACCCTAAACCCGCGCCCCCCTCCCACCCCTGAACTGCCAAGCATCCGATCCGCTTCCCCTAAGCGCCCTAAACTCCTAGGGTTTAGGGTTTAGGGTTTAGGGTCCCAGGCCACCGGAAGGCGCTACAAAATAGATCCCCCAATAGGTGGTTCCTTTAAGGTACCCCTTAACAGTATAGGGTCCCAAGTTAGGGGATCTATTTTTTGGATTCTCCCTACAGCCTGAACCCTAAACCGTATAGATCCCTAAAGACCCCTTAAAGGAACCCTTGCGGATCCAAGGGATCTATAGTGTTTGAGCCTTCCGGTGGTCTGGGATGGGACTTCGAGAGTCTAAGCACCCCCTTGCCCCTCAGACTCAATTGGTCCCGCCTTCGAGAATTACCGAGTTTAGGGTGGTTTAGGGTTTAGGGTGGTTTAGGGTTGAAGGGTTTAGGGCCTACCAACAGTAGGAGCCCTACAAAGAGTACGTAGTATGGGTAATTCCCCTAGACTAAACTCAACAATCCCTAAGGGTCCATGTACCCAAACAGTAGAATGTTGGCCCTAAAGTACCCATATAGGGACTACATTAAGGCCGATGTTCTACTATTTGGGTACATGGACAACCCTCTAAACCCTAAACCCTAAGCCCTATTATGAGCCCTAAACCCTAAAACCTCTAAACCCTAAACTCTAAACCCTAAACCCTATGTAGAGGGTTGCGGAGATCGCATATGGGACCAGACCCCAAAGAGCAGGTTCCTGCTTTAAAAAAAACTGAAGCCTATAACGGTTTAGGGCTTTGGGCTTAGGGTTTAGGGTTTAGGGTTTAGGGTTTAGGGTTTAAGGTTTAAGGTTTAGGGTTTAGGGCTTAGGGTTTAGGGTATAATATTGTAGGGGCCTAAATAAGTACCTATGCTATTTTTTGGGGGGTTCCTTAGTTTAACTATAGTACAATATACCCCAAAACCCTATTCTAATATTATTAAGGCCCCTATATAAAGCCACCCTAAACCCAAAAACCCAACAAACGGTCCAAACATGCGCAGACCGATAAGGTAGTTTCCGAAAATTGGGGTACCTTATTTTGGTTGTCCTGATAATAAGGATCCTACTATTTAGGGTCCTACATTAGGGTCCCTTCTTTTTCGGAAACCCCATATACCTGAGGCATCACCAAGAGAGTAATTGATATACGAGGGTGCCCAGACTACCCTTCCACCCTTGCTTTTAGCTTGGGTATCATTCGTAGACAAGGGGTGTCCCTTGTGTTATAAGGGGTCACAAGGGGCCCTAAACCCTAAACCCTAAACCCTAAACCCTAAACCCTAAACCCTAAACCGTGGAATCTTGCAAGAGTCCTCCGCTCCAGATGTGTAGTTCTCTAAATTAGGGTCCCTGGGTGGGCCCCCAAAACAGTACGACATCCTTATAAGAAGGACATTAAAAGGGACCCTGGTTTAGAGAACTGCTCATATCGGTCCTCAGGAGGCGTGGCAGAAGGAGCTGTGGCTTCTTGCTTTGGGGTTCTAGTGTTTGGGGCTCAGGGTTTGGGGTTTGGAGCCTAGGGCTTGGGTTTAGAGGGTGGTTGCCTAGACCCTAAACCCCAAAACCCGCAAACCTATAAACCCTAAACCCTTAACCTGAGCGCTTCCTCCTTTCTTCTAGGACCCGGAGTAGGCCCTTATTTCCTTTTTGAGGGTTGGGGCTCCNNAACCAAAAAGGGCACCCTTTTCATTCCTAGTTTACTCCTGGGTCTAGTTTTGGTAGATTCGAGTTCAAGGCTCCCTAAACCCTAAACCCTAAACCCTAAACCCTAGATTCGAGTTCAAGGCTTCCCAGGCTCATGGTTGTAGGGCTTTCGGTCTATATAGGGCGCAGGGTTTAGGGTTAAAGGTCTATAGGGTGTAATACAGGGTCTAGCATTTCGGCTTAAGGTTTTGAAGGTTTAGGGTATGATAAATGGGCCTGAATAAATAGAACAGGTTTTCTTAAAGGGTTCCTTAAAAGTTAAAAGGGATACTATAAGGGTTACTATAAGGGTTCTAGAAGAATGGGCCCTTAAAAGAAGAGGATGTTGTTTTATTCTTTACTATACTTACATTAAGTAGCCCCACGCTAGTACTGGTAGCTCTTTCGACCCCTACATTATCCTTTCCAAAACGCCTCACTTAGCACATCTTTTGTTGTTTGGGAACCCTTCTTTTAGATCCCCAATATAGTACGGCACCCTTATAAGAAGGACCCCAAAAGACCCTAATTTAGAGAACTACCCACATGTTTTTGTGTTTGGGGATCCTTCTTTTTGGGGATCCTTCTTTTAGCCCTAAACCCTAAACCCTAACCCCTAAGCCCCAAACTTAGATCCTTCAAGGATCTGTGTTGTTTTTCTTTTGTGCTCCGGGGATGCCAAGGTTCAGGGATTCGAGTTTAGGGTATCCCGAGAGGCTATCCTAAACCCTAAGCCCCCTAAACCCCCTAAACCCTAAACCCTCTAAGCCCTCAGCCGGAAACCCTCTAAACCGTCTGAACCCTCTAGACCCTCTAAACCCTAACCCCCCCTAAGCCCTGTAAACCCTCTTAACCCTAAACCCCCTAAACCCTAAACCCTTTTTAAGGGTACCGAGGTTTTAGCGTAAGGATCTGCTGTAGAGATAAGGTAGATACCCTAAACAAGGGGGTAGGCCTTTGAGCCTGCAGGTATGGGGCTTCGGGAATAGAGTGTAAGGGTTTAGAGTGTTTAGGGTTAAGGGTTTAAAAGGGGTTTTGGATTTTTAAGGGTTTCAGGGTTTAGGGGGTTTAGGGTTTGGGGTTTAGGGTTTAGGGTTTAGAGGGTTAGAGGGTCTAAGGGTCTAGAGGGTTAGAGGGTTTAGAGGGTTTAGGGTTTAGAGGGTTAGTAAGTGGGTTTAGAGGGTTTAGGGTTTAAAGAGGGTTTAGGGTTCAGGGTTTAAGGTTTAAGTTTGGAGGGTGCGCATGTGCGTCACCCCTGGAAATAAACAGCTTCGCCCCTAAACCTATCCTAAACCTCAACCCCTAAACCCTAAGCTGCTGCAGGACTCGGCAGTTTACGGCCAGGACTCCAACCCAGGCCCGCGCACGACTTGCCAACCCTAAACCCTAAGCCCTAAACTCCGAACCCTAAACCCTAAACCCTAAACCCAAAGCCTTATAAACCCTAAACCCAAAGCCTTAAACCCTAAGCCCTAAACCCCGAACCCTAAACCCCTAAACCCTAAACCCTAACAGTGAGGTTCGGAGAAGAAGGGGAGCAAAACCCCCAAGCGGCCAAAACTAGTTACCTGGACCCTAAGAAACCTACCTTTGTAGGGTTCCCCAAAAGGATTTCCTTATAGAAGTCCTTAAAAAGGTATAGGTTTTTCGTGGCTAAGGAACCCTAAGTGGCCAACAAAAACTGTAGGGGCCTTAAAAATTATCTTTATTTTTTTTTTTTGGGGGGGGGTTCCTTGTTCTGATAAGTGAGCATAATTATACCCCAAAACCCCGTTCTAATTGTTAAGGCCCCTATATTACTTACTCTTCAGGTGCTTCAGGTTCAATTTGATAGTCGTGTAGATTCGGAGGAGTCTGCGAGCAGCGCGGCCTGGGCCCGCGGCAGGCCACAGACGGCGCTCAGCCGTGCCGAAGGAGGGAAGAGGGTACTTAGAGGCCCAGGGGACTTNNTTATAAGTAGGGTTATAATTGGGATATCTCCATTTAGGGTACTTATAACTCTACTTATAACCTACTTACTAAAACCCCTGGGCCTTCAAGCAGAGTGGAGGCGCGACGCCCACTCCTTGGATGAACGGCGCCAGTATGATGCCTACGACCCCGGGCGCTGGGGAGGAGTGACCCCTTGGTCGGCGGACGAGGTGCACGTCCCCGACGACTACATGCCGTACAAGGTCCGCATGGAGCGGGCCGGCGCCTCGGCGGATGAGGTGGAAGTGCCGAGCTCTAGGCATTGAAAGTTGATCTGCAGACGGTTCCACGTGGATAAGCCCCGCATGCGGCTCTGGAAAGGGAGGCGTCGGAGTGCGGTGTTTTCCGTGTGTGGAGCAGCTGGGCTGGGACGTACCACTACATTTCATTTATATGGGCTTATGGCTTTAGGTTTGCGGTGCGCAGTGAACCCTGCCACCCCCCGAGGTGGCGAGGGGTCCCCTGAAGGAACGGGAAAGTCCGAGGTTTTCTTTGGCTTCGTCACACTCACTCTAAACCCTAAACCCTAAACCCTAAACCCTAAACCCTAAACCCTAAACCCTAAACCCAAAGCCCTAAACCATAATCCCTAAACCCTAATCCCTGAACCCTGAACCCTAATCCCTCAACCCTAAACCCTCATCACTGCATGGGGCTCCACAGATGTTGTGGAAAACGTGGGCAGGGGTTGACATCGATTGCCGAGATCGCTAAGGCGGTAATAAAGGGGCCTTGATAATCAGAATAGGGCCGGTTTAGGGTTTAGGGTCAAGGGTTAAGGGTTTAGGGTTTAGGGTTAGGGTTTTGGGGCCATTATACTATAATTATCATAGGGAACCCCTAAACTAGTTTTGGCGGTTATTAAGGCCCCTACATTAAGAGCCAAAGCTCTGCCAAAATCCTACCGCCCCTACCGTCTCTGCACCGCTAACCGAACGCCCCCCCAAACTCTAAACTCCCAAAGCGGGAACCCAGAGACTCCAATACCCCTTAATTAAGGAATATACCTTAAATCATATTAGGGATCCTACTATAATTTAAGGTATCTTCCTTAATTAAGGGGTATTGGAGTCTCGTTTCCCTCTTAGAGCTTAGATCCTTGGCATTCTGTTGGTTGGCTCTTAGGACGTTAATGTTTTGGGTTTCTATATGAATTAGACTAAGGAGGCTGAAAGTTTAACTTTTAGGAGGGGTTCAGAAGTCTGCCAAGAATCCCTCAACTCTATACCCTAAACCTTGAAATCCCGAGTACCTGAACCCCTTCACAAGCCACCCCCTTAAAACCGGCAACGCTAGACCCCAGCCACTAAAATGCCGAAGAGCCCAAGAATCTTCGATCTTGAAGCCCCTAAACCCTAGCCCCAAACAACCTACCGTTTCAAGGAATATATCAGGACATCACTGATAGAGACTCCTAAAACTGAAGAGTTCTTCGTGCTCCAGGTAAACCCTAACCCCCAACCCATAAACCCCAAACCTTGGGTACTCCCCCACTCAGTAACAGTTGAAAAATATTTTTCTAAAGCCAAGAAGCACCCAGAACTCGTCAGAAAAGGAACACAGGTAAACAAATCACGGCGAACGCAATAAACAGAACAACCAAGCCACAAAAAAAAGTCAACCTAAATGCTAGACCCCAAACCCCAAACCCTAAACTCAAACCCTAATGCCTAAACCCTAAACCCTAAACTTTAGGCCCTAAACCCTAAACCCCTAAACCCTAAACTCTAAACCCCAAACCCTAAACTCAAACCCTAAACTCAAACCCTAAACCCTAAACCCTAAACCCCTAAACCCCTAAACCCTAAACCCTGTAAGCCCTTAAGGCCCCCCGGATCCGAGGCCCCAGCAGCGCAGAGCCCTCCAGACTCTCCAAGCCTCAGCT